CCTGGTTTACTGGTCTGGATTAGACCCTGAACCATCCGGTCCTGGTTTAAATGCCTTTAATGTGCTGCTTTCAGGTTCTAGAACAGAACTCAGTAAAACAGACAAACACACAGGACCAATCAAATTGAAGCAGGACGATGATGTCACTGACTGCAGGCAAGACAACACCGACTGTTTACTACAACACAACATCACACACTCCTGCAAGTGTGTTTGTGTGTGTGTGTGTCAGTTTGTAGTGAACACACACTCCTGCGGGTCTCTGTTGGACCAACAAACGGCTTTAAAGGATCACTGTGCTGTTGGTCTGTGGCCCTGATCACCAGAACCTGCAGCTCCTGGTCACACCTCGGATCAATCATCTGGCTACTGATCGGTCCTGCCTGTGACCTGATCAGGTCCAACGAGACCCCTGACACTGACACACTGGCTCCTGCCGGTCCGGAACGAACTGGACCTGCAGGTCACCATGACGACCAGCAGGACCACAGGAATGTAGTGTGTGTCTGTGTGTGTCTAGGTGTGTGTGTGTGTGTGTGTGTGTGTGTGCTGCCTACCTTTTCCAGGGAGGGCACCAGCAGGCCTCTCCACTTCGGTGTGTTGTCCTCACTGAAGAAGTCGTACTGCAGCTGGGCCGCCTGCATGGCTGCTGCTGCTGCTGCTGCTGCTGCTGCTGCTGCTGCGGGGTCTGAGCGCCGCAGCCGGACACACACGCACGGTTCCCCGGTTTACATGAACGCTGTGGCGGGCTGTCCGGGTCCAGCGGGGCGGGCCGAATCGAGAGCCTCAGAACATCCAGGACGATCCTCCAGAGCAGCCGCCGTCACTGCGATCATCCTCGGCCGCTACGCGGAGGGCTAGCCGCGGCCGGACGCTCCGCAGCTAACCGTTAGCTCGGCGGCTAGCAGCGAAGGGTTGGGTGTAGCTCACCGGGAGGAGAGCATGGTGGCCGGTAGCCGCTCCGGACCTCCAGCACCGGGACGCTGCTAGCCTGTTAGCATGTAGCCCGCCTGCTGACGTTAGCAGCGGTCAGCCTCCATCAGCGGCGGCTCGGTGAACGGCTGACCGGTTACCAGCTGGCTGCTGGCAGGCTGCGCGGCGGAGGGTTACCGTTGATCGGTGTGGATCAGCGGGCAGCACGGTGCTCTCCGCTCGGCTCCGCTGTTAACATCTCACCGACACACAGGCTTCCTGATCCCGCTGCTGCTCCGCTATGTATCCGCTCCTCCGGCTCCGTCCCCCGGACTCTCTCTCACTCAGCTGCTCCGGCCCCGGGCCCCTGACGGGCGGTCAGTCTCCGAGCTAACGGCGGGCGGTTGTTGTGGCTCCGGTGTGCGGTACCGTATGAGGTGGAGCGGCTGGGCATGCGCAGTGGGCTGGGCCTGACGTACATGGGCGGGGCTTCTGGTGGGCGTGTGTCCTTTATTGCGCATGTCAGAGCGGTGCTCGCTGCCCTGCGGCCGGCGGCGGTACTGCAGCTCCCGTTCAGATGCAGGTTGTTGTTCTCCGGTGATGCGGACGTTCCGTCATCAGGCCGGTGGTTCTGTTCCATGTTTATCATTCAGGGACTCTGAATCTTCTGGGATGGAATCATTGAAACATGAATCTGTGTCACAAGAAACCAGTGGTGCATTTCGGGCCCTTGACAGACTGATTCTGACTGTTCTGGACCCATCAGTGACCCACTGAGTCCACATGTCGGCTCCTGTAATAACACAAGCTGGTGGTTGCAGCTTGAACGGTTCATGAATCAACAGCCTCAGTCTGTTTTCACGAACCCAGAGATAATCCTGAATCTGAATCTGTCCCTCTGGTCGTGTGTTAAAGCTGCTAAAATGATGTATGTTGGAGCTGACAGTCCAGAGGCAGAACCAGGAAGCAGAGTTCTAACGTCTGCTGCTTTCCGACCTTCCCAAGGGTTGGGGTTAGCGTTAGACTGGATCTGAACCTGACTGCCCAGACTCTGTACGTCTAGGCTGCTTAGAACAACCTTATCCTCATTAATTCAACTTCATCAAATCAAAAAACACGTGGACTGTTAGACATTAGGTCTGTGTCGTCTGGAGCTCTTCTAGTTTATGTTCTGGTAACAGATCATCACATTGACTGAAGCCTGGTTCTGAAGAATACATCAGTCTGAATGAATCCGCTCTCCCCGTCATGTTACTGTTCAGTCAGCGAGAAGTTCAGGCATCAATCACAGACCAGAACTTAGAATCTGTTTGGAAGCCTTCGTGTCAGCCTCGTTATCGTATGCCGGCCTCCTGCTCGGAGTTGTTCTGCTATTGTTCAACAAAACTGTGTTCTGTCTGATCATTTCTAATAGCATTTGAATTTACAATAATGGCCTATGGATCACCTACCGAAGAGTCCACGACAGCAGATGTCTGTCTGATAATGCAGGAACTACAGTTAAGGAAACGGTTACACTGTTACCTCAATGCCAACACGTGTCCATCTGAAGTCCTGCAGGTCAGTGTTGCATTGTGGGTTCTGTCCAAACCAAATGATACTTAGACAGATCATTCTGCTGCTGGAGCACAGCAGTCTGATCTGGAGTCAGCGGTCCGACCTGGAGTCAGCGGTCCGATCTGGNTTTTCTGAACATCTGGAACTTAACCTGTCTAAACATCTGGACCTTAACTTGTCTAAACATCTGGACCTTAACTTGTCTAAACATCTGGACCTTAGCTGGACTAAACATCTGGACCTTAGCTTGTCTAAACATCTGGACCTTAGCTTGACTAAACACCTGGACCTTAGCTTGACTAAACATCTGGACCTTAACTTGTCTAAACATCAGGATTGATGTGATCTACACATCTGAAACAGTGAAAACAGCAGAGAGTTTCTGGGTCACATGTGTCACTGATCACACTGCAGGACACACCTGGACAGTGTGTTCTGATTGGTCTGTGTGAGATCAGGTTACAGGTGAATGGCTCTAACCAGCTCTGATTGGCTGTTCGCTGCAGGTGTTTGTCTCAGTGTGATCAGTTGACTTAACACATCACCAAACAGGAGCACAACACACTGTCAAGGGGTCAGAGGTCAGAGGGAGGTCAGGTGGGGTCAGAAATCAGAGGGGGTCAGGGATTGGAGGGGGTCAGAGGTCAGAGGGGGGTCAGAAGTGAGGGGGGTCAGTGGGGGTCAGGGGTCAGAGGTCAGGTGGGGGTCAGAAATCAGATGGGTTGGGGATTGGAGGGAGTCAGAGGTCAGAAGGGGGTCAGAGGTCAGAGGGTGGTCAGGCAGGGGGTCGAGTGTCAGAGGTCAGAGGGGGTCAGATGGGGAATCAGGGGTCACAGGTCAGAGGGGTGTCAGAGGTCAGGGAGGGATCGGGGGTCAGAGGTCAGAGGGGGGTCAGGTGGGGATCGGGGGTCAGAGGTCAGAGGGGACCAGAGGGGCAGAGGGGGTCAGAGGCCAGAGTAGGGTCAGAGGTTAGAGGGGGGTCAGGTGGGGGGTCTGGGGCCAGAGGCCAGAGGGGGTTAGCGTGGTAAAAACACCAGCAGCTTGTGGTATTTTTCCAAACAGCACCTCATTATCACTGCAGCCTCCATCAGCTGGAAACAAGAAGCAAACCAGACCAATCACACTTCAGCATCACTGTGATGTCATCATCAGGGACACAGCTCATTGGTTCTTCAGTCACCTTAAAGTGACTTCATTCATGATCTATGGTGTGAATTAGTGTGTGTATCATGGACAGTGAGGGTTGCGTTGTGTGTCGTGTTGTGTGTCTGTGGTGTGTACCTCGACGTCCTGCACACTGCGAGGCTGAGCCTGACACAACATGCTGAGCAGCAGCAGGATCAGCTCCTCGATGTACTGCAGCGCCTCCTGCTGGGACACCAGGTTAGGATGCACCTGGTTCAGTACCTGCAACACACACACACACACACACACACACACACACACACACACACACACACACA